TTATTTTAGTGGTAGCCTCAGTAGGCTAGGCAGACAAGAATAATGAGCTGGTCTGCAGCCTAAAGTATAGGACATGAACTACTTCCATTACCGAGCCAAAACGTTTTAAAATTTCATATGCCCAACAGCTAGCCTTTGCTTTGCCTATTCACTTTTTGATAGTTTGCAGCTCTGCTGTGTAAATCAGATATATGGTGAGTCTCTGTGCTTTATGGCTGAGTAGGAGTTTATAAAATTACATGTTTCAGCTCCAGTAAAGTGTCTGGTTGTTAGTAAAAGCCCAAAATGGAGCTCAGGGTTGAGAGAGACACAATGGGTTTTATTTAACGCAGCAGAAACACTATAACCCTTCATTTTTTGCAGAGATGGGAAATATGGATACATTATATCAGAAGAGGAATTGTCAAATACCACCTAGCTATCGAGGGAATAAAACTGACAAGTGCATAATATTTCATGTATAGCAGGCTGACAAAACTGGCATGAGAATCAATCTCAGTATGAAGTAGAAGAGAGTGGATGGATGTGTTCACAGGATATGGTAACTGACTTGATCCACCTGTTTATCCCATTGGGTTCCCACTTTAAATTCTTGGGAGTAATTTTGAATTAAGAGGTTTGATCATTTTCTGGGATGTCACTTGGATTTGTTCAAATGTTAATGGCTCTGTGACTGGCTTGCAGCACAAAGACACACAGGGTTTTGGGGTTTTTTTTCTTCTTTTATTCCATCTTTGTGGGATTATTTCCCAAAACATACTATTGCTGAATTTCTATCCTTAGCTAAACTACTGGCAGACACCTTGCTCTGAGATGGCACATTCACTCTGCAGCCATTATGCCAGCATTGTTTAGTAAATGCTTTTCTGGCATTGCTATCTCACTCCTTTGGAACTTATCCTTTGACAGACTCAGGAGACCAGTTTGAACCAAAAATCATACATCAGTGTGTAAGAGACTAGAGCTTCCTGATGAGATGCTGAGGCTTGCTTTGGTGAGAGATTCTGCTCTGAATAGTGTCATTGCTGTTGGGTGAATTAGGTATGAAGAGAAGAGCAGCAATCTTGTGCAAAGCAGGAGACTAAGGTACCTCAGATCCTGGTGAGGCAGATTAGTTAATTCTGGATTCTAGTCTCATCAAGTTCAACAGGGCTCAGGTTTAATTTAGTATGCAGCATTTGGAACAGGGATGGGAACAGTAGAGTGCAACCTGATACACGGTTTGGCAACTGAAGTTCAGTGTTAAGAAGCACAGCTAAATCATTGGCGCTTGTGACTCTGCAGTCATGTGTCCATAAAGTTTTGAGGGGTAATTTAAGAGTTTCCCTCTCTCTTCCTCCTTTCATATGGCTATCCCAGATGGTCAAGTTTTTAATAGGGGAAATATAGCTAATTGAAAGGTGAAGAGGATAGGCCACTGGTAGGGGAGGCACAGGGGAGCATGTGCCCCCCTGAGATTGGCCACTGCTGGCTTCTGCAGGCAATTGCCACTTGCCACCCTCCTCCTCCCCACCGCCACCACCGTCACCAGCTTCTGAGGGTGGTTGCCGCTCGCTACTCCATTGCCAACGCTGCCAATGCTGCCACCCACAAACTGCGCCCCCCTACCACAGTCTCAGGAGGCACCAGTCACCCATGGTGAAGAGTCACAGGAAGCTTTCTTGCCCTCTGAGAACCTGTCTAAACTAGTTCCTTGATGCTACTTGGGAAGTAGCCTGTCCTAAGAAAGAGATCTTTATCTTTAATATGCACTGAGATGGTCATTTTCCGAGTCTCCCAACTGTGTTGGGTGGTACCCACTGGCCTAAAAAGGTTCCTGTATCTTCCTTAATACAAGTTTAAGAATCAGTTAGGGCTCATGCTTCTTAGTGCCTGTATTAGAATAGCAACAGAGACTTCTGTGTAAGATTAGTCAAGGCCTTGGTATGACTGCAATTAAAATGTAGCACTATATAAACCATGTAAAATCAAGTTTTGCCCAAGCCAAACAGTGTGGTGGCTAGCATGCTTAAGGCATGACAGTCCACATGGCACCAACAGATGTGGTGTGGCTAGATTTCTGGACACTTTTGACTCTCAGGCCCAAATGACTAATTATCCAATTATTGTTGTGCCAACCAGGGGTGGCCTTGGACAGGGCAGGGCAGAGCTCAAACTTACTTCTCTGGAATTATCATGAGACTTTTCAGTTCTGCTGCTGTCACAACTGAACAGATTCAGTGCAAGAGCTGATGGACAAACTCAACAGACGCTCAGAAAACCCAGTCCTGGTAGGAGTCACCCAACAACTATAACAGTGAGAGACTGGTCTAGGAGCAGCAGAGGCCAGAAACTTGAGTCTGATGTGTTCATTTTAAAATAGAGGAAGAGCAAACAGCCCCACACATACAGGTCAGGAAACTTTCCTCTGCATTGGCATGTGGCAAGATGTGTCCCCAAGAGGACATATTAGAAAATTGGCCAAAGAAACAAACGAGAGGATGGGAGGAGGTGATCAGATGTGGTCAGGGCCCCTACAGAGAATTGTGTTCTCTGAAGGTTTTTATCTTGCCCTTCTCATCACCAATGCTTTTGAGCCCCTTTCTTGAATGCATTAAATGGTGCAAGTAGCAATTGCCCTTTGTGTGACTTACTTTCTCTCTTTGGCAGGGCAAGGCCTACCACACAGTGTTTTTAGTGGGTTTGTTGATGCACCAAACATGGAGTTGCTGCCACGTGTTTTCATAATGGAAGGCAGGTCAAAGCAGCACACCTTGCAAATCAGGCAGAAGGTGGCAAGGTCTGTCTACACAAGATGCTCACTGTGCAGTAGCTCATTATTACTGCACAGCAGCATCACCAGGCATGAACTGTGATGCAAAGCTACTGTAAAGTAGTAGCAAGTTACTGTGCAGTAGAAATGAGTTACTGCACAGTAAGCTTCACTAGGTAGTGGTACCAGGATGCTACTGCACACCAGTTACTGCACAGTCATTTAGTACTTGGTTATGTAGTAACATCTGCTCAGTGGGTGGCTCGTGTAGACATGCCCAAGGTGGGAGACATGGTCATCTAAGGTGTTGGAACACCTAAGACAGGGGTGGGCAAAATACAACCTGCAGGCCATTCTGTCCAGCCCACAGGGGCCCCTAAAAAAATTAGCAAATTAATATTAATTTGTTCCTGGCTGCCTGTCAAAGCTGACAGGAGCCAGGGGCAGTAGGACCCAGAGCGAGCCCTCAGCAGAACTGAGCAGCCCTGCCCCACCCCCAGCCATTTCACTCTCTTTCTGCCCCTGCCCTGTTCCCACACCATGTGACTCCTGGCTGCATGGCCGGACTGGGGAGCATGAGGCTATGCCAGTACACATGCACACAGGGGCAATGTGTGTGTGTACATGCACAGTGTGTGTGTGTGTGTGTGTGTGTGTGTTCATTGGGTAAGTCCCACACTCACACCCTACCATACACTGCACCCATACCCCCCTTGCACTGCCATACACTCAGACCCCCCAACACTCCCTCATATACCCCAGCCACCCTCCCCCACACACATCTCCCCACAGACCCCATACCCACCCACACCACACATACCCACACACCCACAGCCCCCCACAAACCTGTACACACCCCTTATGATATACAAGAGTAAGACTTCATTTTAAGCTATTTTGCTATCAACTCTGTGTACACTACATAAACACATGTAAACCAGAACAAAAATATTTTTTTAAATCAAAGTAATGAATGTTTTAGATGTTCTCTTTTTAGAATATCATTTGGTTTTTTTCTGGTTCCAAGATGGCAAAACCCCTGGCTGAAAGGAGTACTTCGGGGGGCAAAGGGAGGGTCTTCAGATGGCAAAGGTCAAGGGTTAAGGGGTGGGACTTCTGGTCACAAGATGGTGACCAGGGGGTGTGGCACCTATCAAGGGGCAGGGCTACCCATGAGGCCCTCAACAACTTTCCAAAACTCAGTAAGCGGCCCTCAGCCAAAATAACTGCCCACCCCTGACCTAAGATAACACTTTGTTGTCCTCCTTTTGGGCCTTGAGAAACAAACAGGTGCCATCTTTCCAGACCTTGGCTGCTATCTTGGAAGATGCCTTTCTAAGGGAAGGACAATGGGGGCATGCAGATATCCTAATCACTATTCAGTAGCCACAGAGAACTTCAGTCTTCCCAGCTCCCTGTATTAGCAGCGCCTTGTCCACTATGATGAGCACACAGGCCTATGTCTGTTGCCCAGGGGTAGCAAAACAGACTTCTTCCAAAACAAATGGCATCACAGCCACACACAGAAATGCACACATCTGGGCCATGATGATCTCTCTGCTGAGAGCAAGTAAATGCCATTTCTCCTGACCTCACACAAGGCGTGTTTCCAGGTAAGGTCAGGCAGGGAACAAATTCAGTGCTTTTAAAGCAGCCATGGGCTGGAGAGAAACAGTTCAGGAAAAAATCCAATCCCTCCCTGTCACTCCTTTGTAATTAATGGCTGATGGAGAAGGGTCTGGTAGGGAGCAGCATTCTGTCCTGTGATCTGCAGAGGCAGCAGGGGACTGCAAGAACAGCCACTGAAATTGCACTCAGTTCCCCACTGCCGGCAGGCAGCATGCACAGTCTCCTCCACCAGGGGAACATCTATTTTCTGGCCTGTGAGGTCCCAAGCCGTCCACATTCCCATGTCTGTCAGCTTCAGCCTCCCACAGGAACTTCCTGGTGGTAGCAATGTCCTGAAGCAATGCCTGCACATTTGAAACCTATGTTGGGGTCTTCCCATACTCCTAACATTGGTTTGGGGGAAAGGAGTTATTCACAGGGGATCACTCCAAAAGCATCAGCAGCAGTCACCTGGATCCATGAGCAAGCACCCCAACTGCTAGTCCACACATCAGTCCTTCCATCACTGACCAAGGTGCCACCTTCGCACTGGGCTCAGAGCACGCTCACAGAGGCCGCATGCTTTAGCTGATCCGAGGGCCCATACCTCATCCCAGAGCCTGCCTCTCCACTCAGCTACAGCAACATGCACTCTCTCAGGCCAAGCAGCCCCTTCTGCCATGCAATACCACCCACCAATCAGAGAAGTGGCACAAGGAAGAAGTCAGGGAGGCTTTTTACTGCTCTCCAGCCAGGTGTATAATGCCCGTGTGGTGTAATGCAGCAGTGAAACCTAAGGCAACTGTGCCTAACATGTCCAATGGGGGTCTGCAGTCAAAAGGATACCAGCTTTTCCTCTCTGCTCCTCCCCAGCAGAGCAGAATAGAGTAGAGCAGATTAGGTCACCACTGCACTGTTGCCACCGTCTGGAGTGGAAGTTCCCCAGACCTTTCCCCAAGGCTCACCAGCATCTCTGAGCCATGGGACTGCTCTTTTTCTATCCTATCTGCTTGGGGTACCTCTGGGTTCAATAGCAACATGCTGCTTTGGTGAAGGGAAGTTTGGTGAAGGGAAGTTTGAATCTCAAAACCCACAATAGTTTGCTTTCTGAAGATGATTCCACTGGGGGTTTTATCATAACTGGTGGTCCATGTGGAGGTTTGATTTTACCTCAGCCAGTACATTGTGATGCTTTTAGATTCAGGGATTCAAATGACCCAGACTGTGGGGCACAGTTACATGTGTAAAAGTCTTCTGCCAGGATCTGTTTGGCAGTAAGAAGGTCAGGATTCAGCTCTCTGTGTGTTCCTAACTAAAAATAACCACTGCTGGCATGAGCCCACACCCAGAAACTGGGGAAATTCAGCAACTCAAAGTTGTACTCAAAACAGTAATATTTCCACATTCACAAGCAATGAGGCCAACTCAGGGAATAAACAGAAAGGGCACAGGAAAATAGCAACTTGAGAACAACTAAGTAAGAAATGAACAGGAAGAGAGAGAGCTGCTCTCAGAGTGTCTCCACAATATGCCAGGACCCTATCCTCCTCCCTCAGCTATGAACGGCCAACAAGGGAGTTATCCACTACCCTCATGCTCATCATACCCACCCATGACTCCTTGTCCATACTCAGAGGTGTCCTTTTTATGGGCAGGACCCTCTCACCCTAAAGAATGTGCTTCTGTTCATTAGTCAATACTGCCTCATCTCAGCTGCAGGGGTAACAGCTCTGGGGCTTGATGCAGAGTTCCCCCATTCAAGAGTCCCTCAACCCAGCTTTGGCTCTAAGTGAATTCAGCCCAAGCAGTTTCAACTTCTTGTAGACAGTATCATCACCACTCTGTTGGCTGTTCCCACAGCAGTCACTCAGGCACCACATGGAAGCAATTTCTGCAGCCTCTCAGCCCCAGTGGGTAGGGCACGGGGACCCCAAGCAACCCCTCGCAGGCTGGAGCCCTGCCAGCCGGCAGGGGAAAGCCCACCGTTTCCCACGTTTTTTGCCCTGTAAAGGAGACCCTTTTTTAAAAGTTTGTTTGCAACCCTTCCATATATTCTTGCGACTCACTTTTGGGTCACAACTCGCTGGTTGAGAGACGCTGCT